AAATGTTCTAATTGAAACAAATGAGAACCTGTCGCTACTAAATCTAAGTATGGAATAGTGATTTTCCAAGCATGGCTTAGATCAAGGCCGAAAGAAGGAGGCACACAGTGAGAATCGAACTCACTACTCAGTCGTAATTGCTCTAGCGAGACAAGCTTGCTAACCATTACACCACGTCGAGGTGCCCAAATAGTGATTTTCCAAGCGAAGCTTAGATGTTACAAGGCCGAAAGTATAGGGTACGCAGTGAGGATCAAACTCACTACTCAGCCGTAAATGTTCTAGCGAGACATGCTTGCTAACCATTACACCACGTCGAGGTGCCCATCTAAGTATGGAATATACTGCTATTGTCAGACTGGAGAAGAGCAACGTTTCATCTGTGGCAAAGAGGTTGACGGGTGAAAATTAATTCATCACCCACAAGTTAACCGCTTTGGATCCATTTCCAGGTGGACTCGTCGTTCTATCCTTCACCTTTACAAGGAGGCAGATCAGGCTTAAAATGGATTACTGCTCTCAAATTTGGGCGGGAACCAAATTTACAGTCTCGATAGAATCCAAAAACCTCTCCACGTTCTTGTAAGCAACAAATTATTTGCCACCCTCCAACCCCTCTCTCACAGACGGGGTGTGGTAAGCCTCTCACTACTCGATCGCTACATCCATGGAACGTGCTCGAACGAACTACACTCCTTGGTACCGCCAGTTCAAACTTTCACGGCTAGGACCCGCCATGTCACTCATATTGTAGCAAACCACCGTCATCCCCTTCGTATTCCACTAGTGAGATGCAATTTCCACTCGAACAGCTTCTTCTCTTTGGAACCGACTCACAAGAGGGTGTTTTCCAGATCACTACAATCTTAATTTGTTCAAGTATAGGGTTAATCGTTGTCTTCCCCACATATCCACATAAATTGAAAAAATAATACTCTGTAACCCTCTACCTCGAGTGGCTCAAGAGAATGCATTAAGGATCATTACAATCTTAACTTGTTCAAGTCTAGGGTTAACCGTTATCGTCCTCACCTATCCGCATAAACTGTGCAACTTAGTCTGTAATCCTCTACCTCGAGTGGCCCACGGGCCTTGTACCCTTCTACAGGGTTAACCTCACTGTAAAAAGAAAAAGAATAAAAAGGAAAGTTAAAATTGGTCAGCTCCGGTTCAAGTTATAGCAGCAAGAAATGCGTTCAAAGATATAGCTTACTGTCTCATCTTCGTGTAAACTTTTCAGTTGGTTAATATTCAGCTCAATAATTGCCGCATTTAAAATACAGAGAAGAAGAAAAAAGTCTAATTTACAGGGACAAATTAATGAACTTTAGAGAAGTTGTGGAAAAGACGATTTAATTATATAATCAATGTTTCATATGTCGTCGCCCAGGATAATTTAAATATTATCCTTGACAATTCTCGTTAATTTTAGTTTAAAAGAGAAACTATAGCGGCCAAAGCTACGGACGATTCAATTGGTTGGATCAATTATTTGAAAATAGACGCTGACGTTTAAGTAAAAAGAAATTCCATTGAATTAAGACGATGACGAAGAAAAGAAATCCGCGTACATTTGAAATTACTTGACATCTGTCGGCGAATAAATTGGAGAAAACAAAAATTTTAACACTTCAACAAATGTAACAAACTTATTTACATTTTAAAAAGTTAATATCGTCCTGGGTATGACGATAAACTACATCCAGCAGCAAGGCCTCTGATCAAGAAATTGGAGGTTTTGAGGAGTGTGGAACCACCTCTTAATTGTTGTTCTTCCCATGTCCGCCCTGACCTGGGGTAGTAGCACCTGTTAGGGTCTCAGCTATGGGCAAATAGTATGATAATAGTAAAATATACTTCCATGGTACTTTGACTCCAACTGGAGCCAAACACCATGAAAATATAAAATAGATTTTTATTGTAAAAATACTACCAATACATTTCTGGAAAAAAATATTACCAGCAATAAATTTGATTCTCAACAAAAATAATCTTTACAAAATTACGCCAATGAAACCTGATCTACAAACTGATTTCTTACAAAAGAATACTTGTTTTATTCATACGATCCTATCCTAAAAATATTGTCGACATTAAACATTAAATAACCCGTTCATTTTGATATGCCGTAAAACAAAATATATTAAACCTAAAAAAATAAGCAGAGTGTTATCCTTAGTCGTTCCAGTCGTTTTTAGTCGTATGCGTATTGGTTGAAAATGTTTCTCTACTTTTGTATATGTTAAATTTTGAGATGCCATATTGTTTACACTAAAAGCATATCAGTAGTAGTTGCAGTAGCCATAATACAGCAACAGTTTAAATTCGGCTCGTGATAATACAAGTTGTGTAGTTACTTTAAATAATATTGATAATAAAAATGAATGAGAATAAATATTTATAGGAAGTATATAGCTAGCACTCTATTAAGTTTAGCAATGTCAAAAGTGAGTAATAGGTAAGTTGCAAAACATACAAATGTTATAGTAGTTGGAGATTAGTCTCCAGTTGTGCTGGTCAAACTGTCAGCCTGCAGGCAGAGAGGTTCGCCAGACGAGGCTGTGACGAAGGGCAGAGTCTCGTCTCAGGAAACAGCGACCCGGCCCCGTTTTATACGAGGTTTACATAATTTGCATTTTGACCGAGCCTACGGATACCCCACATTAAATTCGGCCTTGTGCCACATCTGACTGTGTGAGGCGGTTGATAGATATCCTCCGGTAGCTGCTATTGATCTTTTCAGTATTGAAGGGAGTTTCCTTCCTAACCTTTTATTTGAAGTAGTGTGGAATGTCAACATCTTGATAATGTCCTTATTTTCTTTTCAAGTTACATGTGACATTCATTTTAGCTGTTGATGTTGTTGAAATTCCTGTTGCTTGGTATGATTATGTAGCGCCATTCTATAAGTTTCGAAGAAGTGTGATCTTCGCTGAGACTCACAGTCTTCTGTCTGTCTGTCTGTCTCTGTCTCTGTCTCTGTCTGTCTGTCTGTCTGTCTGTCTGTCTGTCTGTCTCTCTCTCTCTCTCTCTCTCTCTCTCTCTCTCTCTCTCTCTCTCTCCTAAAGCCATTTTAACCATTGATCTGATAAAGTGGTTGTATACAGCTGACAGTTTAAATATTTCTGAACGGATTTGGAACCGTGCATGCCATCTATCTGAAAGACTCGATCTGACGAAGCTATTTAAGAATGTCACTCGTGTTTTTCAGACGTAAAGTAAAACTACCTCTGGTGCAACCTATTTTATGTGCAATCTCGTTATCTCTTATGCTAAATTATCAACCGAGTGATATAATTGCAAAACATCAAAATAAGACATGAAATATCGCCAGTCCTTTGACGATCCAAGCGTTAAATAGTTTGTATAAGTATCTGTGTTTCTTGAAATAGTTTTCCCTTCACATCTTGTGAAATCTTGATAGGCCATCTTGATTTTTACATAGTATGCGTTTCAGTAGTAGTAGTAGTAGTCATAAGACAGCAAAAGTTAAAATTCATCTCGTGATAATACAAGTTCTGTAGTTATTTTAAATTATGTTGGTAATAAAAATGTAAGAAAATAAGATATTAACAAGAACGATATAAATACCAGTCAGAGTTGAACAATGTCGAAAGTAAATAATCGGTAAGTTATAAACGGTAGGAAAATTTTACCAAAGACTGGATAACTAAGATTCTTCTTTTTCTTTTATATATTCAGAATTTAAGTGATCATGGCTCTCCACGAGTTCCTTTTCTTTTGTAGCTTTTACTAAGCTTCGTAAGCGTTTTGTAAATTTTGTCTTTTTAGCTATCTCTCCTTTTGTCTCTATACTGCCAAACATTTACACCGGCTTGTTATATAGGTTACTCGCTGTCTTTCTTGCCTTCATTATATCATGTGAGAATCAAATTCCCCAAACTTTGCTTTCTCTTTACATGCCCAAGGAATTTCAATTGTCTTTTTCTGAATTTAATTATAAGTGTCCTTTTTTATTTCTATTTTCCTTAAAACTTCGTCGTTACTGATATGTTCAGTCCATGGTATTCTCAGTATCCTTCCGTAGAACCAGATTTCTGTTAGCTCATGTTTCTTTTCCATCGGTGAGGAGATTATCCAGCGTTCCCTGCCATATAGGTGGGAAATTACGTTGCAGTTCAGTGTTCTTTGTTTCTAACGGAAGTGTTTTTTTTTGTTTCTTAATATTTTGCTTATCAAAATTTATACTAAATAACCGCGGTTTAAAACGAAGCCCAAAATTAAGAATTTATTTTTCGAAATTAGAATTGGTTAAAAATATATATTGTAAATTTTTCGTTTAATAATTGAAGAGGGAAAAGTATTAAGATTTCCAGTCATCTGATTCTTCCATTTTTTCTTTTTTTGATCGTCTGCAAGTGACATGAAATGTAGCATTCTTTTTCGAGAGATTTCATTGGTTAAAATAAAAATGTGCAATTAAAAATACTTCATCTTTGATGCCTCTTTTTTTGCACAGGATTGACATAAACATGTCCGTAGGAAAATACATAAGCTTGGGTTGTAGTCTTCCTGAGCAACATCTTCGACGTAAGAAGTTATACACTGCAGAGGTGTTTCTATGTGATCAGCAAGAACAATATCATTGGTGAAAAGTAGTTCACAGGTGAGTTGCTTCATTTTCTTGGTGTGGGCCTTTATACCCTTCAGAGTGAACAGGGTGCCATCGATACAGCAACGACTGTAGATACCTTCTTTATCAAGATCTTCTATAGCCCTATGAGGAAACACGCCGAAGAATATGGTGAAAAGTATCGATGCAAGAACGTTACTTGTTTTACACCATTTCCTAAAAAGAAATACTCTGAGAAGTTGTTTCTACCGTTCAATCGGATGGGACCGACCGAAAGGAAAAAAAATCACCGACATGTATTCAGCAACATAGGCACGCCCATCTTAGAACTAGGATAGGTAGACATTCGTTAAGGGCTCTAATGAATACCGGAGCAGAAGTATCAGTTATGCATTGGACGGTGTACATGTTACTGCAACCTAACCCCGAAAAGACTGCAGACGGCGAATGGAACGCCTCTACAGATAGATGGACAGGCAAGATTATCGGTTAGAATAAACAACCACCTCACACCACAGTACACCTTGCGTAGTGCAGAACTTAAACAGGAATATAATGCTGGGACATGGACTAGATACAACAAAATGATGTAAGGATAGATTTCGATTTTGAAACCCTACGAACAAGAAATAAATAAGCAGATTTAGTAGAAAGACAGACAAAATTCGTCCATCCAGTAAAGTTAAAGCTTTAGTCCATGCACACGTGTATGCAAATATCGGACGGCGGACTACGGAATAAATCAATAAATTCCTATGAAGTTGAGCAGTTAGGGTCAGAGTTTCTTAGTATTGCATATGGCGTTTCTTTAGCAAGTGCATTAGTAACAGCAATGTGACAATCAGTATACAGTTACTAATTGTAAATAATACAAACCAAAAAGTTACTTTGAGACGAGCGTCCTGTACAGGACGATAAACTAAATCCGACAGCAAGGCATCTGATCGGGAGGATTTGAGGAGCGTGGAACCACCTCTTAATTGCTGTTTTTACCAGATCCTCCCTTACCCGAGGTGGTAACACGTGTTTGGGCCCCAGCTATGGACAAATAGTGAACCCCAAACAAAAAACTAAATTATTATGAACATACAGAACTCTGGATAATCTCCTCACAGATGGAAAAGAAACATGAGCTAACAGAAATCTGGTTCTACGGAAGGATACTGAGAATACCATGAACTGAACATATCAGTAACGACGAAGTTTTAAGGAAAATAGAAATAAAAAGGACACTTTTTAAATTCAGAAAAAGATAATTGAAATTCCTTGGGCATATAAAGAGAAAGCAAAGTTTGGGGAATTTGATCCTCACGAGATATATTGAAGGCAAGAAGGACAGAGGAAATCAGCGAGTAACCTATATAACAAGCCGGTGTAAATGTTTGGCAGTATAGAGACAAAAGGAGAGATAGCTAAAAAGACAAAATTTACAAAACGCTTACGAAGCTTAGTAAAAGCTACAAACGAAAAGGAACTCGTGGAGAGCCATGATCACTTAAATTCTAAATATATAGAAGAAAAAGAAGAATTTTAGTTATCCAGTCTTTGGTAAAAATTTTCCTACCGTTTATAACTTATCGATTATTCACTTTCGACATTGTTCAACTCTGACTGGTATCTATATAGTTCTTACTAATATTTTATTCTCTTTCATTTTTATTACCAACATAATTTAAAATAACTACAGAACTTGTATTATAATCGAAATACTATGAAAGTGTAAAAATTCATTTGTATGGTAAAAATACCAGCAATATATTTTCCTAGTCAAAAAAGCTACCAGAAATATATTTGTGTAAAAATAATTTTAAAAACTCGCCTGCAATACATTTATTAAAAATATAAATATATTCAGAAATACATTTTTGTAAAATAAATTACTAATGCTCCCAGGAAAAATAAATTTCGGTATTAAATGACTCATGAGGTGTTGATGTACCTCTAAACAATATTTTTAAACGAAGTGAATGTTGTAAATATAACCGCCTCACCGGAAGCGGAAAGAATATTACTTTCGAAGTGGAGTAAAATTATAACAGGTAAACACACCAAAAGATTGGTTTGGTTTGGTTTGTTTTACGGCACATCAACCTCAATGGGTCATTTAATGCCGACAACTCTTTTTTTTTTCTGGTAATATTTTTGTTCTGTGAAAAATCCATTTCTGTTATTATTTTTTTTTTTCTGAAAAACGTATAGTTGTTAATATTATTTCTTCAGAAACGTATAGCTGGTAATATTTTTTCCTCAAAAACGTATGGCCGGTAATATTTTTTTTTCGAAAACATATAGCTGGTAATATTATTTTTTCAACAACGTATAGCTGGTGATATTAATTTTTTTCAATAACGTATAGCTGGTAATATTATTTTTTTCTCAAAAACCTATAGCTGGCAACATTATTTTTTCAAAAACGTATTATCAGAGGCCTTGCTGTTGGACGCGAATGTAATCTGAGTGTTACCCAGGACGTGGATGTAGTTTATCGTCATACCCAGGACGCGGATGTAATTTATCGTTATACCCAGGACGCGGGCGTAGTTTATCGTCATACCGAGGACGAGATCTTGGTTTAGGGGTTAACTATTTGCCCATAGATGGGACCCTAACAGGTGCTACCACCCCAGGTCAGGGTGGACCTGGGAACACCAGCCATTAAAAGGTGGTGCCACGCTCCTCAAAACCTTCTGATCAGAGGCCTTGCTGTTGGACGTAGTTTATCGTCTTACCTAGGACGCGGATGCAGTTTATCGTCATACCCAGGACGCGGATGCAGTTTATCATCATACCCAGGACGGCACACCAAAAGAATTCAGAATACCGGATTATAATCTTCTAAAGACAAATAGGAATTTATTTATCTGTCTATATTTCTGAGATTAGGTACTGCAACGATTTTACCATTTAAATTGTTCTAAAACAATCTACCATGGATGAAATAAAGGGTTCGGTCGAAATTCCAACGTATATCACCTGAAGAAGGCCGGAGCGTACAACGGTCGAAATGTCAAGAATGTGACATCCGAACAATGTAAATAGTGTAAATATGAATTTATTTGTCGAAAACAACAAATATGGTGAAGATAAGGGTCAACACCGACGGGTACAGATGCCTATCAAAAAGCATTTATATCTCACAAACCTCACACAAAAAAATTAGTAAGTGAGGTTTGTAGATGAAATTTTACTTGTCGGGGTTATAGAGAAACCTAGAAGCCCGTGGAGTTTTCCTGTAGGATGACATAGATTTAGCATAGATTTTAAGGAACTAAAATTACTAAGAGTAATACCGAGGTCGGATTTAGATGAAGAGGGGTCCTTGGGCTTAGGGCCTGTGCTATTTCAATTGTGAGGCCCCTCTAAATCCTCCCATTCTCACGAGTAGATGAAAATGCAATAGTGTTAAATTTAACAATTTGAATAAAACTAAGGATGATGACGCGTGTTTAAAATTACTGAAGAGTTGTTTAGAGTCTACAATTCGTTATGGCAGCCTGTCTAAGAAAGTTCTATGACTGTCAAAAATATTATACACCATAACTGAAGGCTTCCTAGATTTTGAGCTCCTAAGCCTGCTAAGCTTATAGGTAAACCCGGCACTGAGTAAGGCATACAGGTTCCTCGTTAATGATATTTTAGCTTCCTTAGTCTCTACTAGGTACTGACAGGTAAAACTTCACGAGGAACATAAGGAAAAACTGCGTTCACGTGTCATCAAGAATTATTCCATTTTTACGTGATTCTGTTTAGATTGTTCAGCAATTCATCAATTTTACAAGGATAGCAAATGTAAATTCTGTCATGTTTCGAGGACATTTTAATGTTTTGTGTTTCAATTGAACAGCATTTTTAACACATTCCGGGTCTTTTCAACGGCTTAAGTAAAGATTATCTCAAGCTAAAACCGACCAAGCAGAGCTACAGGATCCAAATCTGTAATATGACGACAATATGTCACTAAATGGTCAACTTTCAAAATTTTCTTGGGGGCCCTGAAAGTTCAAACCACTGGCTTAATGGAGTACGCTAATCTCAACAAAATCTATTCATAGCTAAAATTTTGGCATAAAGATTCTCGAATTCATTGTTGGTGCTTTGTATAATATTATAGTTTAGTTCGGGATGAGGCCAATTCAAGAGTTAAACGTCCATTAGCACAACGTTAGTCGAGCAAAGTTTTATCTGCTGCAAAACTATGCAAAACAAAATGGTCAATAAATAGGCACATGATGATGTAACCTCTGCTGATTTTCATAACTATAGCGTCAGAACAATAAGAAGTTAGATGAAAAACAGTTTTAAAAATAGACATCTTTACCAGATGAGCCACAAGAACGACACCTACTGGCGACAGCAGGAATAATGGCTGCAATAAGAACGCAATAAAGACGCCATTGCTACAAACAGTCACTTCTGCAATTATTTGCTTTTTTGCCGAACAAATGCCGGATGTCAGTTATTATTTGCATTCCGTGTTTCAGGTTTTTTGCTATATTTTTCTCTCTTTTTATTACCTGCCTTTCCCCATTCTCTCTCTCTCTCTCTCTCTCTCTCTCTCTCTCTCTCTCTCTCCACACACACACTCGCTCTCTCTCAGTCGCTCTCTATCTATCTATCTCTCTCTCTCTCACTCGCTCTCAATGTCTCTCTCATAAACTCGTTCTCTCTCACTTACTCTCTCTTTCTTTCATGTTATCTATTTCAATCTTTTAACATCGATCTCTCTCGTTGTCGCTTGAGCACTTTCTTTTATAATTTTATCTCACTCTTAGACGCCACGTCATTATTTATTACACGTATCATTCCTTTTTATTCATATCTTTATTTTATTTGTCTTTATTTTTCTCCACTATCGCTCTCTCTCTCTCTCTCTCTCTCTCTCTCTCTCTCTCTCTCTCTCTTTATCTATCTATCTATCTATCTATCTATGTTTTCCTTCCTGTCTATTACACTGGGTTTTGACGCCCATTTCACGTTGAACATCGTCTTCTATTTTTGTCTACATTTCTCTCCTTGCATTACTCTCATTCTCTTCCTCTTCCTTCTTCACTGTTTTTCTTTCTCCACCTTCTCTCTTTCTCTCTCTTTTTCTCTACCTTCTGCTCCCTTAATTCTCTTTTATTTGATAATTGTTAGTGATATTTTCTAGGCATAGCTTAGAAGTGTATAAGGTCAAATAGAGATACATAAGGTCATCTAGGGAGAAATTCGAATAGAGATTGGGTTGCGCCTATATTTGAAATGCTTTCTTTGAAAATCATCATTCGAACCGTGACTTCTTTCTATTATTCCTATTTTTGCAAGAAAAATTAAAATGTTTGGACATGAAGAACTTCTTATCCGAAAACCGTCTATAGTGGAAGCGGTTATGTGCATCACATTGAAAAAGGATGAAACAAAAACTTGTAAATTTTAAATTGAAATAAAAAAGTGCATGTAATGGAACATATATGAAAGAAAAATTACTGATTGCGGATCTAATTTCTTGAAGCTAAGTAGATAAATACATTGATCAGCTTGTTGGGTGAAGTAGTTGAGAATTTTCAATTTTCAATCATCGATTGAAGCTAGACAAGGGAGAGAGAGAGAGAAAGAGAAGAAACATTATTTTTGGACGTTGACTTTCAGAAAAAAATTCCTTCTCAAATAATTCCATTATCTGAGCATACGCTAGACGAAATTGAACATAAACCTATTTCTCTCTCTCTCTCTCGCTCTCAGAGCTATCCTAGCTCTCTCTCTCTCTCTCTCTATCTCTCTCTCTCTCTCTCTCTCTCTATATATATATATATATATATATATATATATATATATATATATATATAGAACATTCAGAGGCGACAGGCTGTCTCATACTAGATGCAATCGCATATATATATATATATATATATATATATATATATATATATTTGTGTGTGTGTGTGTGTGTGTGTGTGTGTGTGTGTGTGTGTTTTCGGCAACATGTTTTCATTCAGACAGGTTTTGTTAAATAATTTAGACATGTTCTGTCTACTTATTTTCGATAAGATCCTTTCATATACGCGATTAAGCATTTTGTGCGGTTGTTAAAAGACGAGAGGAAAACACCGTGTTGGCTCATATTTTATTTATTCCGAGTACTTTCGACATAGCAGAATGTCATCATCGGGGTATTGTTAAATATAGAGTAAGTATTTAGTGTTCATGGTTGTGAAGGACAAAACTTGTTGCGGTCATCCGAAGATTACCATTTTTTATGTGGAGTCACGAACGCTTTGTCATGGTTGGTTGACAGACACCGTCTTTAAGGGGAGGTAACTAGGTATACTGTAGAAAATTTCCGGACTTCAGTAGTTGCTAGATAAAGGAAAAACTATTAATGACAAGCGCTAACATTTAAAGATTATTTATCGTACACATTTTAAAAATGTTTGTGGAGTATTCGTAATTAATTTTATTTAGGTTTGGTTTCATTTTTTTTTATATAAATAGCTTTGAGAATTTTTAATTTGTGTTTATTCTTTTCGTGGAAATGTATGAAGGTGTTAGCCTACTGAATATATTGTCTATATCTGATGAACTGCGTATTGCAATTCGAACTCCATGTTGCCTTTTCTTCTTCTGACTAATCTGAAATAAATTGTATCCCAAATGCGCAATGGAGGCATAGCATAATCGACGCACCTCTTGCATACAGACAACATCAATGTTTGCTTCCTTGTATTCTTCAACATCGACGTGTACATTTATTTGATCCTGACTAGATACTGATTTTTTTTTCTATTTTCTAATTGGAGAATTTTTCAAATTTCGATCTTATAGTCAATTTTGTAGTTGTTGATAGGTTAGGTGGCTGACTAGACCTTTCCTTACCAGCAGCAGATTTTTCGACCTCTACCTGAAGTATCACCGAGAATCACGTTCCTTCGCAACCCACGTGACAGACGATGCGGCATTTAGTTAGATTTTTAGGCATTCTCATTAGGTTAAAAATCTTGGTTTTATATTATTTTAACTTCTAGATAGATGTCCATCAATATTGAGCCCGAGCTACCCATTTGATTTTATATCAGTTTGTCTTTGTAAGCTACACACGTAAAAAGATGATCTAATGGAATAACCAGTCATCCCCATGAATGATTGCACTATAGGTAGGAAGTACCTATAAAGTCTACTACCTATGAGAGACTGGAGAAAGAGTGAGAGCAAGAAGACGAAAGCACGACCTTCCAATTAGTGGTACTCACTACTAGATTAACCTGTGTGTATAACTGTACTGTATTTTATATTGTACTTGTTGTGTACAATAAACCTTTCTTCTAGTATCCACCTGATGTTTATTCCCTTAACACGGAATATAACAAAAGAAATTTTACGTCTCCTAGTATCATTTTTATGTACCCCATATTATTATTCCTCTTTTTCACTTCCGGAATAAAAAATCCTTTTTCACTTCCGGAATAAAAAATCCTTTATCATTTCCGTAATAAAAATCCAACATATCCACCGCGTGTCCCTAGTTTATTAAATGCGACAGAATATATCATCCTCCCTCAATACTTCACAGTCTTCTTCTAGATGAAGTGCCTTCACCACGACTGAGGGTGTTCATCTCATCCACACATGAAGAAATATGTAACAGGTTAAATATTAAACATGGTGACCGTTCGTTGATGAAATTAATGTACATGAAGGTGTATCAGTGATGACATTTTATCACAGCTAAATATAGGAAGCCTTTTCCCTTATTTTACCGCCAAAATGTGTGATACTAAAATTAGTATTCCATTAGTCACTAGACAGCTAGTAGGACTTTTGATTCCCAACACCACAGATGTGAGAATTTGACTCAGTCAATTATGTGCTATGCATGATACACGCTTTCGATACATGACTGACGAGGAATACTTTTCCCGCAGTAGGTTGCCATTTCTTTCTGCACTAGACCAGTTGCCATCAAAGGCTATAGAACCCTGTCTGTCCTGCTATTTACCCATAGTTGGGGTGGGGGAGAAGAAGAGTATTTATACCTTTCCCAAGGGTCAGTCAGTTATGCGCCATGCGTGATACACACTTAGGCGATCATGTATCTTTCTGCGTTAGACCAGTTGCCATCAAAGGCTATAGAACCCGGTCTGTCCTGCTATTTACCCATGGAGGGTAGAAGAGGATTCTTACGTGCTAATACCCTTGGGAAAGGGTATTAGCGCGTAAGAATCCTCTAATACGGTGTCAAAAGACCATTCATCTGCCTCTGCAAAATTTTTCTTTTTTACATTCCACCAACCTTGGGTATAGTTGCGTCTGTTTTATGAGTGAAACGAAGGGCAGGAGACGCCAAACTGCGAAGGATTGGACATACTTTTTTTGGTACAATCTGTAGTCCGTGCCAGAAAGTTTTTCTTGTCGGAGTTCATCCTTGAAATCTATAAATCAACCATCCGTCCTTGCATGGAATATTACTGTCATATATGGTCTGGTGCCTCCGCTGTGCGTCTCGAGGTCCTCGACAAAATCCAGAGACGAATATGCAATATGATAGGTCCTGATCTGGCATCTAGTCTACAATTGCTTTCCCATAGACGTGCCGTGGCTTCCCTCTGTCTCTTCTACAAGTATCTTCACGGCAACTGTTCCGACGATCTACTTTCGCTGGTTCCCAGACAGCATGAATTTAAGCGAGCTTCCAGTCTTGAGTCTCGGCCCCACACTTTCACTGTCAAAACGGTTAAATCTAAACATCTCTTCTACTCAGACAGCTTCTTCTCCCGCACTTCCCATCTGTGGAACTCCCTTCCCCTTACTTGCTTCCCCGATGACTATAATCTTCAAATGTTTGGATGTGATATCAATCGACACCTGATACCTTGATCTTGTTCCCCGTCCTTCTATGTATACTTCCCACAAACATGCCTCTTTAATCTTGTTCTCAATCCCCTGTAACTCCTTGCGTGCCAGTGTCACTCCCACTTTGCTTGGGGTGGATTGCTTTATAAAAAAAAAAAGTTATCTCTGCAGCACGTCTCTCCTCTCCATGTAGAAGTTGTCCATGAGAAAAACAGGGACCGATTCTCCTTGGCTCCGGTATTATTGCAGCAATTGCCAGGGTGGATTCGACCACAGGCAGATTTTTAGATTCCAGCTCCAGACTTTCTCACCAGTTTTTAATATCATTTTTTTTTATCTGACTGGATACGACTCCAAAGATAGGAATGTTTTTAATTTTCTTTGTTTTGTTTCTCACTATGTACAAGGGATACTGTATATGACGTATTAGCTTTTTCAGTTTACATCATCTACTATGTTGTGCCACAATAACCCTTAATTTGGTACGTACTTAGTAGGAAAGAACTGTTCTTTTCTCACATTTATTAATCTTCACTGTTCTAATTATGGGGTATTAGCACGTAATAATCCTCTAATATGTGCTGATACCCTTTCCCAAGGGTATTAGCAGGTAATGTAAGAGATTCGACTGGGATTTGAACTCGGTTCTACTATTCCTCAATTCGAGCCGCTATCCATTACACCACTGTGCTTCCTGTAAGAATTTGACTATTACACAAAAAAAATATCCCGAGAAAAACCAGTCTCCGATTCTCATTACCGCAGTTTAAACCTCAAAAGAATTCGCGACTGATCCATTCAATTAAGTTAAGCAAAGAGGCTGCATCCCCATCTCCTTTACACTAAAGAGGGGGAATCAGATACCAACGCTGCGGGAGCTGAGCAATTTTTGTCCTTGATTGAGTGTGCGATTGGGTTCCCCACATTAAACCCGACCTTGTGTCACATTCGAGTCGAATCCATTACATTCACTTTACTCCTTCTCTCCCAGCTATGGGTAAATAGCAGAACAGTCTTGGATGGCAACTGGTCTACCGCAGAAAGAAATGGCAACCTACTGCAGGAAAAAATTGCTTTGTCAGTCATGTATCGAAAGATACATGATCGCCTAAGCGTGTATCACGCATTGGCACATAACTGACTGACCATTGGGAAAGATATGAATCCTTTTCTTCTTCCCTCCCCACCAGCTATGGCTAAATAGCAGGAAAGGCCGAGTTCTATAGTCTTCGATGGCAATTGATATACCGCAGAAAGAAATGGCAACCTACTGCGGAAAAAATCTGCCTCGTCAGTCATGTATCGAAAGATACATAATCGCCT